GGAAAGAAACACGGGAAGAGAGGGAAAAACGCAGGAAGAAAGGGAAAGAAATGAAGTGGAAAAGTGGAACGCAAGAAGAAAGGGAAAGAAATGCGGAAAGAGTGGGAGAGAAACACGGGAAGAGGGAAAAAAGGAAGAAAAGGAAAGAAATGCAGAAAAAGTGGGAGAGAAACACGGGAAAGGGAAAAACGCAAGAAGAAAGGGAAAGAAATGCAGAAAACTGGAAGAAAAACAGGAAGAGAGGGAAAAACGCAAGAAGAAAGGGAAAGAAATGCGAAAAAAGTGGGAGAGCAACACGGGAAGAGAGGGAAAGAAACGCGGGAAGAAAGGGAAAGAAACGCGGGAAGAAAGAGAAACACGGGAAGAAAGGGAAAGAAATGCGGGAAGAAAGGGAAAAACGCAGGAAGAAAGGGAAAGAAATGCGGAAAAAGTGGGAGAGAAACACAGGAAAAAGGAAAAGAAATGCGGAAAAAGTGGGAGAGAAACACGAGAAGAGGAGAAAACACAGGAAGAAAGGGAAAGAAATGCAGAAAAAGTGGGAGAGAAACATGGGAAGAGAGGGAAAGAAACACAGGAAGAACGGGAAAAAAAGTGGGAGAGAAACACGGGAAGAGAGGGTAAGAAACACGGGAAGAAAGGGAAAAACACAGGAAGAAAGGGAAAGAAATGCGGAAAAAGTGGGAGAGAAACACGGGAAGAGAGGGAAAGAAACACGGGAAGAAATGGAAAAACGCAGGAAGAAAGGGAAAGAAATGTGGAAAGAGTGGGAGAGAAAAACGGGAAGAGAGGGAAAAAACGCAGGAAGAAAAGGAAAGAAATGCAGAAAGTGTGGGAGAGAAACACGAGAAGAGGAGAAAACACAGGAAGAAAGGGAAAGAAATGCAGAAAAAGTGGGAGAGAAACACGAGAAGAGAGGGAGAGAAACACAGGAAGAACGGGAAAAACGCAGGAAGAAAGGGAAAGAAATGCAGAAAAAGTGGGAGAGAAACACAGGAAGAAGGAGAAACGCAGGAAGAAAGGGAAAGAAATGCGGAAAGAGTGGGAGAGAAACACGGGAAGAGAGGGAAAAATGCAGGAAGAAAGGGAAAGAAATGCGGAAAAGGTAGGAGAGAAACACGGGAAGAGGGAAAAACACAGGAAGAAAGGGAAAGAAATGGAGGAAAAGTGGGAGAGAAACACAGGAAGAAAGGGAAAAATACAGGAAGAAAGGGAAAGAAATGGAGGAAAAGTGGGAGAGAAACACGGGAAGAGAGGGAAAGAAACACGGGAAGAAAGGGAGAAACGCAGGAAGAAAGGGAAAGAAATGTGGAAAGAGTGGGAGAAAAACACGGGAAGAGAGGGAAAAATGCAGGAAGAAAGGGAAAGAAATGCGGAAAAGGTAGGAGAGAAACACGGGAAGAGGGAAAAACACAGGAAGAAAGGGAAAGAAATGGAGGAAAAGTGGGAGAGAAACACGGGAAGAGAGGGTAAGAAACACGGGAAGAAAGGGAAAAACACAGGAAGAAAGGAAAAGAAATGCGGAAAAAGTGGGAGAGAAACATGGGAAGAGGGGAAAATGCAGGAAGAAAGGGAAAGAGATGCGAAAAGAGTGGGAGAGAAACACGGGGAGAGAGGGAAAAATGCAGGAAGAAAGGGAAAGAAATGGAGGAAAAGTGGGAGAGAAACACGGGAAGAGAGGGAAAGAAACACGGGAAGAAAGGGAGAAATGCAGGAAGAGAGGGAAAGAAACATGGGAAGAGAGGGAAAACGCAGGAAGAAAGGAAAAGAAATGCGGAAAGAGTGGGAGAGAAACACGTGAAGAGAGGGAAAAACGCAGGAAGAAAGGGGGGAAAAGCGGAAAGAGTGGGAGAGAAACATGGGAAGAGAGGGAAAAACATAGGAAGAAAGGGGAAAACGTAGGAAGAAGGGAAAAGAAATGCAGAAAAAGTGGGAGAGAAACACGGGAAGAGAGGTAAAGAAACATGGAAAGGGAAAGACGCTGGAAGTGTGGGAAGGAAACGTGGAACGAGAGGGAAAGAAACATGGGAGAAAGGGAAAGAAATGTAGAAAGGGGGAAATGCAGAAAGAGGGAAAGACGCGGAAAGCAGGAAAAACTGAACGAGAGGGAAAGAAATGCAGAATGAGGGGAAGAAATGCGGAAAGAAACGGGAAGAGAAGGAAAGAAACATGAAAGGGAAAGAAATGTGGGAAAGGGGAAAGAAACACGGAGAGGGAAAGAAATGTGGGAAGAGAGGGAAAGGGGGAAATGCCAGCACAGAGGAAAAGAAACAAGGAAAGAGAGGAAAATAAACATGGAAAGAAAGGAGAGAAACACTGGAAGAGAGGGAAAGAAATGCAGAAAGAGGGAAAGATGCAGGAAGAGAGGAAAAGAAACATGGAAAGAAAAGGAAAGAAAAACTGGAAGAATCATAGAATCATAGAATCAAAGAGTTGGAAGAGACCTCATGGGCCATCCAGTCCGGAAAGAAAAACTGGAAGAGGGGGAAAGAAACGTGGAAAGAAAGGGAAAGAAATGTGGGAAGAAAGGGGAAAAACTCAGAAAAAGGGCGGAAAGAAGTGCAGAAAGAGTGGAAGAAACGTGGGAAGAAACGGGAAAAGGGAAAGAAACGCAGAAAAAGGGGGACAATTGTGGTTTTTTGATTGACTACGACTTTATATCCTGCGGAGGCGCTGTTTTGATGTGTGGCCTGACAACCGGGATGCATCCCATCAGCTACAATCTTGCAATAACTTCCAGGCTTCGTCATGGCGCAATATTAGGGGGGAAAGGGTTTAAAAAGTGACCATAAGGAGGAGGCATTTGAATGGATTCGGAGGAGCCGGCTTTCCATGGCAGTGTGAGTTGAAGTGGTTTCAAAAGGTAAGAATCTATCTCTCGGGGGTGCTTTGAATGCGATTTCTGGGTTTGAGCCTGCCACTTTTGGACTCTCACTTGCTGAGGTGTTCCAGCGAGTGTCTCTATAGATCTTAGAAAACTATTTCTTGATTTAAGTCGTTGACGTGCTGGCTGAGACCCAAACAGGGGATGAGCTGGAGATGTCTCTGCCTTGGTCCTTTCACTCTTGGCTCCTACTTCCCGGCGGATGTCAGGTGGTGCAATACCGGCTAAGGTGGTGCAAAACTGTCTTTCGGGTTGCAAAGGTCGACAACAGGCTACACAATTGGTTGGAAACCCACTCCAACCCGGGCTGGCTTTGAACTCATGACCTTTTGGTCAGAGTGATCTTAACGCAGCTGACACTCAGCCTGCTGTGCCACAATCCCGGTGCGAAAGAGTTGGAGAAATCTTCTTTGGTGATTTCTCCCTTTTTCCACTACTTGTGCATGTCTCTTTTGTGTTTTAGCACAGTTAGAAGTTCTTTGGACATCCATTCTGGCTTCTTTTTGCACTTGTCCTATTTTTCCTCTTTGTTGGCACAGTTTGCAATTGCGCCTTGAGTATTTCACTCTTGAGAAATTCCCAACCCATCCCTGACCAGGTTGGTTCATCGGATGCTCTGCTATGGCTGAGTTAGTCTGGTTGAGTTAGTCTACAGTGCCTTTCATATTCTTTGATTCATGCCTGGGCAATGCTACTGCATTTGGGGTCTCTATGGGGAGAAGGCCGGGATTGTGGCGCAGCTGGCTGAGTGTCAGCTGCATTAAGATCACTCTGACCAAAAGGTCATGAGTTCGAAGCCAGCCCGGGTTGGAGTGGGTTTCTAACCAATTGTGTAGCCTGTTGTCGACCTTTGCAACCCGAAAGACAGTTGCATCTGTCAAGTAGGAAAATTAGGTACCACCTTAAAGTGTGGAGATGCTAAATATGTGAGAGGAAGCCACAGGGAGGAGGAGGGAGCAAGCTTGTTTTCTGCTTCCCTGGAGACTAGGACGCGAAACAATGGCTTCAAACTACAAAAGAGGAGATTCCATCTGAACATGAGGAAGAACTTCCTGACTGTGAGAGCCGTTCAGCAGTGGAACTCTCTGCCTACCCCGGAGTGTGGTGGAGGCTCCTTCTTTGGAGACTTTGAAACAGAGGCTGGATAGCCATCTGTCAGGGGTGATTTGAATGCAATATTCCTGCTTCTTGGCAAGATGGGGTTGGACTGGATGATGGCCCAGGAGGTCTCTTCCAACTCTTTGATTCTAGGATTCTATGAAATAAATCATAGAATCAAAGAGTTGGAGAAATCTTCTTTGGTGATTTCTCCCTTTTTCCACTTCTTGTGCCTGTCTCTTTTGTGTTTTAGCACAGTTAGAAGTTCTTTGGACATCCATTCTGGCTTCTTTTTGCACTTGTCCTATTTTTTTCTCTTTGTTGGCACAGTTGGCAATTGCGTCTTGAGTATTTCACATCCCATCCGTGACCAGGTTGGTTCATCAGGTGCTCTGGTATGGCTGAGTTAGTCTGGTTGAGTTAGTCTACAGTGCCTTTCATATTCTTTGATTCGTGCCTGGACAATGCTGCTGCATTTGGGGTGTCTATGGAGAGAAGGCCGGTATTGTGTCGCAACTGGCAGAGAGTATGCAATATTCCTGCAATGCAATATTCCTGCTTCTTGGCAAGATGGGGTTGGAGTGGATGGCCCATGAGGTCTCTTCCAACTCTTTGATTCTATGGTTCTATGAAATAAATCATAGAATCAAAGAGTTGGAGAAATCTTCTTTGGTGATTTCTCCCTTTTTCCACTTCTTGTGCATGTCTCTTTTGTGTTTTAGCACAGTTAGAAGTTCTTTGGACATCCATTCTGGCTTCTTTTTGCACTTGTCCTATTTTTCCTCTTTGTTGGCACAGTTTGCAATGAGGAATTCCCATCCCATCCGTGACCAGGTTGGTTCATCAGGTGCTCTGCTAGGGCTGAGTTAGTCTAGAGTGCCTTTCATATTCTTTGATTCGTCCCTGGGCAATGCTGCTGCGTTGGGGGTCTCTATGGGGAGAGATGGCCCACGGGGTCTCTCTCTTCCAACTCTGGGATTCTCTGTCTGGGAGGAATAGGAGCCCTTCCCAGGCCAAAGGCAATCCCAAGGCAGGGCGGTGCTGCGCCTCTCCCAGCTGAAGGCAATCCAAGGGCGGCCAGGAAGGAAAGCACTCCATGAAACTCTGCCCAGCTGTTGCTCCAGTGTCTCCACCTCTTTCTCTCTCTGCCTGCCTCTGGGGGCCCTTTCCCTGGCCTTGGGTTGGGCTCCCTTCCTTCCTTCCTGGAGGAGGGGCCAGTGCCAAAGTGGGAGAAGCAGCAGCAAGAGCAACCGGAGCAGTAGCTCAGGGACCCTTGGAGAAGAGCTTGGATTTGCCCCCACCTCCTCCTCTTCCTCTGCTATCATGTGAGTGCCCCCTTTCCCCCCTCCTTCTCTGTTTCCTCCCCCCACAATACCAGGCCACAACACTTTCGTTTTCAGCCTTCCTTCCTGGTTCTCTGTTGCTGGGCCCAGCAGCGCCTTGAGACACACCACAAGCTCTGCCGGGGGGGGGGGGGGGGGGATCCTCCCCACAAGGCAACCCAGGGGTCTCTGCAAAGCCAGGGGTGAAAGCAAAGCAACGCGTGGCAGGGGACGGCTAGTAAATAAATAAATAAATCATAGATTCAAAGAGTTGGAGAAATCTTCTTTGTTGATTTCTCCCTTTTTCCACTTCTTGTGCATGTCTCTTATGTCTTTGCGCCTCTGAGAGTGAGCCCACAACACGAAGACCAACTTGGGACTGGAGGCAAGAGGCCTTGGAAATACTCCAACCACAATGGGAGGCACACTCTTTGCTTACTCTTCCCACTCTCAAGCGAGAGGCGTGCAATGGGACACTATGCAACAAAGTGTGCAAAACGTTTCTGCTTTGGAAGTGTTGCTTCCTGTGTCATTGTGCGGCACTTCCTACTCCGGCAACTTTGTGTTTGGTGGCTGCCACAAAGGTTGGGAAGTCAACGAGGCTGAAACAACCTGAGCAAAACGAGCTGGAAGATGTGAAAAGTTTGGGCAGCTTAACAAACCTTTCCCATGTTTTGATAATAGAACCAAATAAGGACATTTATAACCCAGCAACAAAAAAAATCATGTTACATAGTATTATAATAATATTTATTATACCCACCTCTCCTCTTGTATTATTATTATTATTAATAATAATAATAATAATAATAATAATAATAATGTCCTTATTTCCTCCTTGGTTCTATTATCAAAACATGGAAAAAGTTTGTTAAGCTGCCCAAACCCTAATAATAATAATAATAATAATAATAATAATAATAATTCTTACCCACCTCTCCTCTTCTATTATTATTATTATTATTATTATTATTAAAATTTATTTTCTTATTTTATTTATTATTAATATATTTTTATTTTTTACCTGCCTCTCTCTTCTTGTATTAATAATAATAATAATAATAATAATAATAATAATAAAATTTGTTCTCTTATTTTGTGTATTATTTATTATTAATAATATTTTTATTTCTTACCCACCTCTCCTCTTGTATTATTATTATTACTATTATTAAATTTTATTTTCTTATTTTATTTATTAATAATAATAATATTTTTATTTCTTACCCGCCTCTCCTCTTGTATTATTATTATTATTATTATTATTATTATTATTTTAATTCTGACTCGCCTCTCCTCTTGTACTATTATTATTACTATATATTATAACAAATAATGATAATAATAATATAATTTTATTTCTTATCCACCTCTCGTATTATTATTATTATTATTATTATTATTAAATTTTATTTTCTTATTTTATTTATTATTTATTATTAATACTTTTATTTCTTACCTGCCTCTCCTCTTGTATTATTATTATTATTGTTATTATTATTGCCTCCAACAGACAAGAGTTCTTTCTCCCACCGTGGACATTCTACAGATATATTAACCCCACTTGCCTAGTTTCCAACAGGCCTCACAACCTCTAAGGATGGCTGCCATAGATGTGGGTGAAATGTCAGGAGAGAATGCTTCTGGAACATGGCCAGACAGCCCGGCAAACTCACAGCAACCCTATTATTATTATTATTTTATTTCTTACTCTCCTCTCCTCTTGTACTACTACAACGTCCTTGCAGACGGCCAATTCTCTCACACCAGAAGCGACTTGCAGTTTCTCAAGTCACTCCTGACACGACAAAAAAAAATACTATTATTACTATATAATATTATAACAAATAATGGTTAGAATAATATAATTTTATTTCTTACCCACCTTTTGTCTCATATTATACTACTACTAGTAGTAGTAGTAGTAGTAGTAGTAGTAATAATTAATAATTAATAATTGTACAAGAGGAGAGGCAGGTAAGAAATAAAATAATAATAATTGGTTTGCTGTGAGTTTGCCAGGCTGCCTGGCCATGTTCCAGAAGCATTCTCTCCTGACCTCTCGCCCACATCTATGGCAGGCATCCTCAGAAGTTGTGAGGCCTGTTGGAAAATAGGCAAGTGGGGTTAATATATCTGTGGAATAATGTCCAGGGTGGGAAAAAGAACTCATGTTTGCTTGCGACGAGTATGAATGTTGCAATTGGCCAGCTTAATTAGCACTGAATAGCCTTGTAGCTTCAAAGCCTGGGTGGTTACTGCCTGGGGGGAATCCTTTGTTTGGAGGTGTAAGCTAGCTCTGATTGTTTCCTGCTTGGAATTCCCCTGGTTTTTTAGGTTCTTCTTTATTTACTGTCCTGATTTTAGAGCTTTTTAGAGGTTTTGTTCATTTTCGTGGTTTCCTCCTTGGCTTCTTGTAGTTTCAATGGCTTCTCTGTGTCATCTGATACGGTGGTTGTGAGAGTGGTCCAGCATTTCTGTGTTCCCAAATAATCTGCAGTGCCCAGGTTGGTTCCTCAGGTGCTCTGCTATAGCTGAAGTAGTCTACCGGGCCTTTCATCTTCCTTGACTCCTCCCTGGAGAATGCTGTGTTTGGTCATCCCTCTGTAGAGTTGTCCACAGCTGCATGGCATGCAGTAGACTCCATCAGAGGTGTAGACAAGTCTCCACAGGGACCCCAAACGCAGCAGCATTGCCCAAACACGGGTCAAGGAACATGGAAGGCACTGCAGACTACGTCCACCAGAGAAGTCAGCCATAGCAGAGCACCTCATGAACCAACCTGGACACAGCATAGTATCTGAGAACACAGAAATGCTGGACCGCTCTCACAACCACCATGTCAGGCTACACAGAGAAGCCACTGAAATCCACAAGAAGCAGGTGGACAATTTCAACAGAAAGGAGGAAACCATGAAAATGAACAAAATCTGGCTACCAGTATTAAAAAACTCTAAAATTACAACAGCAAAACAACAGAGAGGAAACAATCAGGGACATCTAATCACCTCTCAACAAAAGATTCCCCCAGGCACTAACAAGCCACACCAAACAACTGTGCGGCCATCAAATGCTAATCAAGGTGGTCACTTGAAACATTCCCACCTAGCTCCAGCAGACAAGAGTCCTTTGTCCCACCCTGGTCTTTCCACAGATATATAAACCCATTTTCCTAGTTCCAACAGACCCCACTACCTCTGGGGATGCTAGCCATAGATGCAGGCAAAACGTCAGGAGAAAATGCCTCAACCTGGGGTCCCCAGATGTTTTTGACCTACAACTCCCATAAATCCCAGCCAGTTTACCAGCTGTTAGGATTTCTGGGAGTTGAAGGCTAAACACATCTGGGGACCCCAGGTTGAGCAACACTGTCCTAGAAGCATTCTCTCCTGACTGCCCCAAGCACCAACAAGCCACACCAAACAACTGTGAGGCCATCAAATGCTAATCAAGGTGGTCAGTTGAAACATTCACCCCTAGCTCCAGCAGACAAGAGTCCTTTGTCCCACCCTGGTCATTATTCCACAGATATATAAACCCTTTTTCCTAGTTCCAACAGACCTCACTACCTCTGAGGATGCTGCCATAGATGCAGGCGAAACGACAGGAGAAAATGCCTCTAGGACAGTGGTTCCCAACTTGGGGTCCCCAGATGCTTTTGACCTACAACTCCCAGAAATCCCAGCCAGTTTACCTTTACTGGTTTGTGGCAGAGTCTTTGCAGTCTGACCTTTAAATCCTCATATCGTGTCAGCTTTTCCAGTCGTTTCTCTGCAATCCTGCTGTCACCTGGGATTGCGACATTGACGATCTATACTTTGTTTTTTAACACAATTGTGAGGTCAGGAGTGTTGTGCCCCAAAACTTTGTCTGTCTGAATCCGGAAGTCCCAGAGTAGCTTGACGTGTTCATCCTCTGTAACTCTTTCTGGTTTGTGACCCTACCAGTTCTTTGTCGCAGGCAGATGGTGTTTGTGGCATAAGTTCCAGTGAATCATCTGAGCAAGGGTGTTGTGCCTCTGCTTGTAGTCCGTCCACGATCTTCTCACAGCAGCTGAGGATGGGATTTACTGTTTTGCCTGCTTCCTTGCAGAGTCTACATTTGGGATCTGTTGTCGACTTTTCAATTCTGGCTTTGATGGCCTTGGTCTTTGTGGCGCAAGTTCCAATGAATCATCTGAGCAACGGTGTTGTGCCTCTGCTTGTAGTCTATCTGCACGATCTTCTTGCAGCAGCTGAGGATGGGATCTATTGTTTCATCTGCTTCCTTGCAGAGTCTACACTTGGGATCTGTTGTCGACTTTTCAATTCTGGCTTGGATGGCCTTGGTTCGAATGGCTTGTTCTTGGGCTGCCAGAATCAGGCCCTCCTTTGTCTCCATTATTATTATTATTATTATTATTATTATTATTATTATTATTCTCTCACGTCCTGGCCAAATGCTTGGTTCTCGGTGCAGTCGAAGACGCAGCCTAGGCCTAACGGGATTCCTCTCCTTGTCCATCACCCTTCCTTCCTTCCTTCCTTCCTTCCTTCTCTTTCTCCGTCTGCGCTGCAGGTCGACCAGCGGCCCAACCGGGGCAGCGGCCTCCTCGTCCTCGGTGTCTGGCTCCAACCGCCGCCTCCAGCAGACCCAGAACCAGGTGGATGAAGTACGTAGATCTCAAATTTCCTTTGAGAGGGTTCTTTGGGGAGAGGGCTGTGTGGACAGCAATGACCCGGCCTTGGGCTTTGCAGGTGGTGGACATCATGAGGGTCAACGTGGACAAGGTCTTGGAGCGCGACCAGAAGCTCACGGAGCTGGACGACCGGGCCGACGCCTTGCAAGCGGGAGCCTCCCAGTTTGAGACGAATGCCGCCAAGCTGAAGAGGAAGTACTGGTGGAAGAACTGCAAGGTGAGCGCGCCTTCGGCCCTTGTCTCCTCCTCCTCCTCCTTCTTCCCACATTTTCTGTAAAAGCCATATAATAAAAGGAAGGAAGAGAAGCCAAATGGAAAAGGACAAAGTGTGTTGTCGAAGGCTTTCATGGCCAGAATCACAGGGTTGCTGTGCGTCTTCCAGGCTGCATGGCCATGTTCCAGAAGCATTGATGGAGAGGGCAGCAGCGGAGCAGTTGCAGCAATTCCTAGACGACACAGCCAGACAAGATCCCTTCCAGTCTGGCTTCCGTGTTCGGGGCACGGGACAGAGACTGTGGTGGTCTCCATCACGGATCACCTTCGATGCCAGCTTGACCAGGGTGGGTCAGCGCTGCTTGTGTTATTGGATCTCACAGCAGCGACACAGTCGACCACAATCTTTTGACCCACTGCCTTGCTGCTGTTGGAGTCAGGGGGACAGCTTTAAATTGGCTGTCCTCCTTTCTTCACAACCGTGGACAGCGAGTGGAGAGGGGAGGCCTGGTCTCTGAGAGGTCCCCTCTCTCTCTCTTGTGGGGTTCCTCAGGGGGCCATTCTCTCCCCTCTGTTGTTTAACATCTATATGCGACCACTTGCTCAGCTGGTTCAGGTTTTGGGCTTGAGTGTTACCAGTATGCTGATGACACTCAGCTGGTGCTGAGGATGGAGGGCAGACCTGATTATTTCCATCAGTGGGACGAGGTGGGACGTAGGGGTGGATGTGTTCGGACAAGTAAGCTGGGCCAGAACTGTATAGAGCAGCGGTTCTCAACCTGGGGGTTACCTGGCCATTTTGGAGGGGTCGCAAGGCCGCCTCCGTTGGTCCCGCCCCAAGGGCGCGGGCCAGGGGAGGCCTCCCTCGCATGAGGCCTGGCCTCGCCTGCCTCACACTCTCGCCATCTGGCAAGGGCACGAGGCAGGCAAGGGTTCCTCTGTGCGAGGCCTGGCCTTGCGCAAAGCCTGACTCGCCTGCCTCACACTTTCGCCATCCAGCAAGGGCGCGAGGCAGGCGAGGGGTCCTCCATAGGAGGCCTTGGGTGCATCTTCAAAGGCAGCCCCGTGTAGAGCGCATTGCAGTAATCTATTCGGGATGTAACCAGAGCGTGGACCACCATGGCCAGATCAGACTTCCCAAGGTACGGGCACAGCTGGTGCACAAGTTTTAACTATGCAAAAGCTCTCCTGGCCACCGCCGAGACCTGGGTTCCAGGCTCAGTGATGAATCCAGGAGAACTCCTAAGCTGAGAACCTGTGCTTTCAAGGGGAGTGTGACCCTGTCCAGCACAGGTTGCGACCCTATACCCTGTTCGGCCTTGCGACTGACCAGGAGGACCTCTGTCTTGTCTGGATTCAACTTCAATGTGCTCGCCCTCATCCAGACCGTCACAGCGGCCAGGCACCGGTTCAGGACTTGGACAGCCTCCTTAGCATCTGGTGGAAAGGAGTGATAGAGTTGGGCGTCATCTGCGTACAGATGGCATCGAATTCCAAAACTCCGGATGATCTCACCCAGCGGCTTGTTCAGGGAGGCCAGAAAACTCACAGCAACCCAATGATTCTGGCCATGAAAGCCTTCAACGACACATTACTAAGAATATCCTGACCACAAGAAGAGCTGTCTGCCTTATTTGGAGGCTTCTAAGCAGAATTTGGATGGCCATCTGTCAAGAGGGATCGAATGGTGTCTTCCTGCCTGGCAGGTTAGGCTGGGTGGCCCATGGGGGTCCCTTCCGACTCTGTAATTCAATGATTCTGTATTATTTTCTGTCAGGTTTTACAATGTATTGTAATGTAATATAGCTGAGTCATGCACTGCTAATAGGCTTCTATTGGAAATGCTGAGTCATGCATTAACTGTATATAGGGAATCATTTGGGGAATGTGTTCTGGCCTAGTCCAGGTGATTGTGAATGATGTAATCCTGGGTCTGAGTTAAGTTAATGAGTTGGGAACCAATCAGAGATTGCTATGTGTAAAGGTACAGAATTGTATATAAGGAAGTCGTGTACAGTGTATTCTCTCTCCTTGTGCTGTGATGCTGTTCGTCGAAGGCTCTATGTAATGTATTAAAGGAACCTGTCTGCTAAGACAAGATATAACCGTGTGCTGTGGTAAGTTTGTAGTGTCATCTAGATTGGAGGGGAAAACAATGCACTGCTAATAGGCTTCTATTGGAAATGCTGAGTCATGCATTAACTGTATATAGGGAATCATTTGGGGAATGTGTTCTGGCCTAGTCCAGGTGATTGTGAATGATGTAATCCTGGGTCTGAGTTAAGTTAATGAGTTGGGAACCAATCAGAGATTGCTATGTGTAATTGTATAGAATTGTATATAAGGAAGTCATGTACAGTGTGTATCTCTCCTTGTGCTGTGATGCTGGAAGAAGCTACTGGAAAGCGCTGAAGTTGTGCAACTGATCTGCTGCTGAATTGTGAAATTAATCTCAACATTTTCTTATTTGTCTTGCCAGATGTGGGCCATATTGATCGCTGTGGTCGTTGTCCTCTTAATCATCATCATTGGTAAGTTCTTCGCCACGACTCCGGATAACGTCGCCATTTCTGTTTGGGTCTCAAAGGCTAATCTACTGCATATTAAGGTCTCTTCGTAAAACAATTTTGTGTGTGTGTGGTTTCTCAATGCAGTTTGGAGTGTGTCTTCGTGAGCTGCGGCGAACCAAGGAAGCCGACCCCTCGGCAAGGAACGCCCGACTCCTGCACCCTCACCTGCGGCACGGTCACACTTTCCCACCGTGCCCAAATCGAACCTTATTTCGGACAGACGCATCTACTCTTTTGTCGTTCTTCAATTGCTGAAACGTGTAAACTAAATGCTAATTTGGTGGGTTGAGGCTGCCGAGGAGAGCTCTGCGAGTCCTGGGAGGAAAGGGCATTTATTTCACGGCCTGTTCTGTTCTGGAATTGCAATTCCCAATGGCCTTTCCTTCATCCCCACTTGGAAAATCTCTTTCTTGGACGAGGGCACCCTCCTCACTTGCACATGTGCCAAACCATGTAATATTAAAGTATT